GAGAGTGTCACAATTGTAAAGGTGGAAGTTTTCTAACAAAAAAAGGGGAGTGGTTAATCTTACAGTCCAGAAACAGAGGACCCTAGGACCATCAAGAGAGAAGTGCACAAGCAGAATGCGGGACCTTATCCAGAGAAGCAGCAGAGCCAGAGATGGAGGCAGAGATGGGGGCATGGAGATGGGGAGCAGCTGAGGACTCTAGATTCATAGACTAAGAAGAGAAGGACTAAGAACTGGTGGCCAGGAGGCAGACTTGCAGAATTTGCCCTTTGGAGATGTAAACTATTATATATGCCTGAGTGGTTAAAAAAAAAAAAAGATCCCACTCTAATACAGTCTCATTAACATAATAATAAAGAAACCAACTCAAGCCCCCCACCAAAAATGGGAATCAGGGAGAGAAAGGAAAGGAAGTCAAAGAGGCAACAAGAGGCTCTCTAAGTAATAATCCTATACAATTATCAGAGTCCTGGTGTGGTGCTGTGGGTTAATGAGCCACACTGCCAAGCCGTTTAAACTGCAAGGTTGGCGGTTCAAGCTCCCCAGATGCTCCTCGGAAACCCTATACAGGGTCGCTATGGGTCAGAACCCACTCAAAGGCACTTAACAACAACAATTATCACTATTAATTATAATTTGTTGGGTGCTTTGTATTCAAATAACTTGACACTAAATTTGCATTGTAATAATGTATCTGTACAGATTCAGTCACACTTTCCCAAACACATCTTGTGATCACTGACATGTAGCAGTTAACAAAGTCCAGATTGTTGTTGTTGTTGTTGTTATGTGTTGTGGAGTCGGTTCTGACTCATAGAGACCCTGTACAGGGTTTCCAAGGCTGTAAATCTTTACGGAAGCAGAAAGCCTCATCTTTCTCCCACGGAACAGCTGGTAGTTTCAAAATGCTGACCCTGAGGTTAGCAGCCTGATTCATAACCACTACACTACCACAGCTCCTAACACAGTCAGGGTATGACCATGAAATATGACAAAGCTATCCCATAAAGATCCAGCCACTCCTTGGAAACACCATACAGGGTCGCTATGAGTCAGAAAAGGAGCTCTGGTTCTATTGGTTCTTTGGCAGCCCATGGCACTTTCAACATTCTCCTCCAACACCATAACTCAAAAGCATCAATTCTTCTACGGTGTTCCTTATTTACTGTCCAGCTTTCACATGCATATGAGGTTTTTTGAAAATACCATGGTTTGGGTCATGAATAAAGACGTTTTTAAACAAGTAATGTCCTAAAAAGTTGTCTCCCATTTACCTTCTTGCTGAGGAAAGAAACTAGGAGAGGTAATGTTCC